ACAGAGCCTCAAGCTATCCCTCTGGGTAGAGTGCTATGGCATCACAGCTCACAGCAACCTCCAACTCCTGGGCTCAAGCGAGTCTCCTGTCTCTGCCTCCCAAGTAGCTGGGACCATAGGTGCCTGCCACAACGCCCGGCTATTTTTTGGTTGCAGCCATCATTGTTTGGCGGGCCGGGCTGGATTCAAACCCGCTACCTTAGTTGTATGTGGGTGGTGCCTTAGCCACTTGAGCCACAGGCGCCTAGCCTCAAAGGTCTTTCATGAGCCCAGGTTTCATCTGTGCCTGTGTATGACATTACCATTCCCAGACCTGTCAGCCAGCAACCTTCATCACTTACCACAGATCAGGAAAGGTTACTCCATTCCCAGACCCATCAGTAAGTGACCTTCGTCACTTACCGCAGATCAGGAAAGGTTACTGATGGGTATCTGGCCGGTTTTCCAAAGGGCTTTTTCATAGGCCTTATAAAATCAACCTTAATTCCTTAATGCAGTCTGGAAATGCTGTTCCAGCCAAAGCCTTGGTCATGTTAGGCCCGCAACTAACCTGGCCACCTGGGATTCTGCGTCAGTTTTTTAAGTATGCCTGCAGAAAGTCTTTTCAATGCTCTCTCTCAAACGGCTTTTTTGGCCAGAGGCATATAGACGTTTCGCCTATAAATGAACCTAATCATATGTACCCTATATTAATTGGAAATTAAAAAGAAATGTTACTGATTTGTGTATATTTGTTTTGTAACCTGATATTTTGCTGAATTTATCAATTCTAAGAGTCTTTTGGGGGGGACTTTGGTATTTTTCTACATGCAAGTTTGTATCAGTGAAAAGTGATTGTTTGACCTTTTCTTTCCTATTTTGGATGCCCTTTATTTCATTCTCTTTCCTGATCACTCTGGCTAGGACTTCAGTACTGTGTTGAATGGAAATGATGATAGTGGGCACACCTGTTCTTGTTCCAGTTCTTAAGGGATGTGATTTCCACTTTTCCCCATTCAGTATGGCGTTGGCTATAGATCTGCCGTATATAGTTTTTATAATTTTGTGGTATGTTCTTCTGCCTAATTTATTGAGGGTTTTTGTCATGAAAGGGTGCTGGATTTTATCGAATGCCTTTTCTGCATCTATATGTGGTCTTTGATTTTGCTTCTCATTATGTGGTGAATTCCATTTATTGATTTGCATACCATCCTTGCATCCCTAGGGTTAAACCCATTTGATCATGGTGATTTTTTTTTTTTTTTTTTGAGACAGAGCCTCAAGCTGCCCCCCCTGGGTAGAGTGCTGTGACATCACAGCTCACAGCAACCTCCCACTCCTGGCTCAAGCGAGTCTCCTGCCTCAGCCTCCCAAGTAGCTGGGACCACAGGCGCCCGCCACAAGGCCCAGCTATTTTTTTGGTTGCAGCTGTCATTGTTGTTTGGTGGCCTTGGGCTAGATTCAAACCTGCCACCTTAGGTGTATGTGGCTGGTGCCTTAGCCACTTGAGCCCACAGGTGCCGAGCCCACAATGGCCATTATTAAAAAGTCAAATAAAATGGATCCTGTTATGAAGCAAGAGAGAAAGACACACTAATACACTGTTGGTGGCACTGTAAATTAGTACCAACTCTATAGCAAACAATATGGAGATTCTTCAAAGAAATAAGTGTAGACCTATAATTTGACCTAGCAGTCCCATTACTAGATGTATACCCCAAAGAAAAGAAATCATTTTATCAAAAAGACTCCTGTACTTAAAAGTCTACTGCTGCACAGATCACAGTGTCAAAGATGTGGAATCTACCCAAGTGTCCATCAGTTCATGAGAGGATTAAGAAAGTGTGGTACACGTGTATTCGTCAAATGTAGCATGGAGTACTACTGAGCTGTAAAAAGGGACAAAATGATACCTTTTGCAGCACATGTACTCTAGTAATTTGAAGCTAATCAGTCTGCACACACAAGAGCATAAAGAGATGTAAAGGTCATAGAAAATAAAGATGGGGTAGGAAAAAAGGGGTTAATAACCTGTATAGCAAATACAGTGACCACTCTTTGGGTGATGGGCACACTAAAAGCCCTGGCTTAAGCGTTATAAAAGATACCTGTGTAATAAGAACATTTGTACCCCCTTAATGTTTTGAATATAAAAAAGAAATGAGAAGAAGAAAGAATGAGCTGACCTGTTTCTTCCTATATATAGCTGGTAATACAGATTCCGCAGGGCAAGATATATTCTTTCCACATGGGGATGAGAAAATAGCCCTTGTCACCAGGGTCTTGGAATTGAAGGCACAACGGACCTGAATAAACATATTAATGGATTTACCCTTCTGCCTGCTTTACACCCCCTCACCTCTTCTTTCCCTGACCAGGTTTTCTGTGTTCTTTCACTTCTTCTCATATTTATTGCTTTTTTGGCTAAAAAATATAAAGCATCTTGCCTTGTTCATTTGTTGATACTTCGCTGTTTTGTATAGATCCTCGTGCTTGTAAAACTAAGAAAATGTATATGCTTTTCTTAATCACCTGCTGTCCATTTGGTCTGTATATCCAGCCGAAGAGCACACAAAGAAATACAAGAGGATTGGATGTGATCTCTAGTTCCCTTATACTAGCTTGATATCTTATTACTCAAAAGTGAAAAATTTAGTATTTTATAAACTTGAATCATTTTGAACCACCTAAAGATAGGTTCAAAATCAGTTATCAGCCATTAAAAGCTTTACCTAGTTCCTCTCACAAATCACATGGTATTGGTAAGAAAGTACATAATAGTGATTTTTCATAATAAAAAGATATCTTTGAAGTTTATTATTTTGTACAATTTGAGACCCAAAAAAGATATATAATACATCTAGCTTGATCTACTCTTTTTCCGGAGTAAAAATAACAGTAGATAAAAGAACCTCAATGGCTATTTGAGCCTTTTAATTTTGCTAGTTAGTTGCAAAGCGGGAAATAAAACCAGGTCTCCTGATGACCAGTTTAATAATCTTATCATTTGGACAGCAGAGACACCTAACAGATAATTCATATTAAGAACTGGGTTTTATTCTGGCTTTGATAGTTGTGTCATAACAATCAAGAACAAATCAAACTCTTCTACAAAATGCAAGGCCTAAATTCAGTGTTAGAATACTGTATTTTGTAATCTGAATAATCTGTTGAAAATTTCTTGTTAAATATTTTTATTGGTAACTAGGAAAATATTTAGTAACATAACTAATATCTGGAAGAAGAATGTGAATGCTCTGGCTTTTTCTCAAAGTGACAATGACAGTTCTTTAGCAAAAAAAATTAAAACAATCTCACATTGAAAAATAAAATCATACTTCTTTTCAGTAGCTTTTGATTGATTAAAAATGAGAAACAAAGTAAGTTGCAGTCCTTCTGGTTTCAGGTTCTGTTAAGTACAGAATTAAGTTTTAAGTGCCTCCAACTGAAATAGCTATCTTTTTATTTTGAGACAGTCTCATTATGTCAC